TGGCATTCCCGAGAAGAAGAAGGGGAAGGGGGAGGGGAAGGGGGGCCGGGGCGAGAAAAAGTGGTGCCACACAATTGGTTGCTATTGACACGCGCACATTGGAGGAAAGGCAGAAACGGCGACAAGGGGGGAGGGGAGGGGGGGGAGGAAGGACATGCGGTGGTGGTGGTGGGTGTGGGTGTAGAGGGGGAGGGAGTGGACGTACTGGCGGCAAGAGTGGCTGCGCGGTGTGGGTTCCGTCGCTGCTCCTCCTTGAGCTTTGCTGCAAGCCTCCGTATGCACATCTTGTTCGTCTTGTGCACACGATGACCATGGACTACTTGCACGTCACTGGCAACCGTAAGTGCTCGGCCGCAGCACCAGCAAAGGTCACTGTCCGACATGCCAGCCCTCCTCGCACAAGCTCTCGCTCTCCACTTGCACAACGAGAAGTGCCTTTCCCCCCCCCCCCCCCCCCCCTTCCTTCTGCACCCACCCCCGCCAATAAGCCTGAACATGGCATCACATACACAAACTACCAATGTTCCGGTCACAATTGGTGAAACACGTGCACACAACAGGTCGACCTGGTCAGCCAGCGATGGTTGGGGCGGGTACCATTGCATTGACCTGCTACTGGTCTCTGCCTGGAATGATACACACTACCATTGACATACCCCAATGCCATAAGCTTGGTTTTGTCGTGCCACCCGATGATCTCAAGTCGGCGTACATACCAAGCCAGAGGTGGTGGGTAGCAGCCACCACTACCACCCGGATACGAACGATGCCGGCCTTGAAGCCCGATCCGTCCTCACCCGATATGGTATTCATCCATGCCCCCATCGTTACCCAGCTCAAGCCTCTCCCCTAGCCGCCTGCTCGGTTCCAGTGAGCCCAGCCGTGGCTTGTCTGGCGCACCTTGTCGGTGGTCATCGAGATGTGATCGACGTCGATCTCGAGTTAGCCTCTAAGCAGTCACACGGTTGGTCTGACTCGGCCAGGAAAGACGTCCGGAGCTGGCAAGAGGCCGGGCGGAGGTACTCTCGTCGCGCATATTCTGCAGACATGAGCGAGGACGACCCGTTTGCGCCAGCATCCCCTCCGCCTACCTCTGCCCAGCAGCAGGCTGAGGGTGATGACGGTGATGCCCAGGGTGCCGAGGAGACGACCGATAGCTCGTCCAAGAAGAAGGACCTCAGCCCCGAGGAGCGTGAGGCCCGCCGGAAGCGGAAGGAGGCCAAGCGGAAGAAGAAGCAAGAGGACAAGCGGAAGCGCGAGGTAAGCAGTACATGTGAATATATTTCATTCCCATCCCCTTCCCCACCATCTTTCCCGTGTGCCCCCCTCCCCTCCTCTCCCCTTCTCTGTCCGCTTGCTGGCGCATGTCGTCGTCCAAGTCACGTTCGCCTGAACTGGCTCTCCTGCCGCGGCAAACCAAGGCCAGCACGCGGCATGCAGACCAGCTACTAGCTAGTCACATCCTCAAGATTGTTGAACATGCTGCATACATACGTTGTGCCGACTTTGTCCTCGCTGTCTCCTTTGGTTCAGCAGGCGGCGCCCTGGAGGGCGTCGCCCTCGGGCTCGTCTCGCGCCGACCCCTTTTTTGGGTAGCTGCGATGCGACGCTCCTCCTGCTTGCTCGCCCGTTTTACTGGCTTGATCGGCGGTGACGCAGTGGAAGCGCGCGCTGGCTGAGGGCCTTCTGTACTGAGGGATGTCGCATGTTGTGCAGAAAATAGTGTGAATGGGCAACTTACGCTTGAGGATGGTGTGGTGTGCGGATTCGCGGTGATGATCCGGATCGATGGCCATGGTGTGGCGCTGACGGCGATGTCGGCCGGTCTCGTTGGTACGGTGGGCTTCTACGTCATGATGTGGACAGATCATTGTGAGCAAGGAGTCGTCGGCGTATGGCCACTTTCAGTCTGTGCAGCCGGAGCCGAGCAAGAAGCTCTCGACGCTGCACACGACTGCGTACATTGCGCCCGAGCAGTCGCGGTTCTTTGACGCTGCGGTGGACGATCCGGTGAAGCATGGCGATGGGTTTTCGGCGTACACAACGTACCGGACCCGGGTCAAGTCGTCGGATCCCGAGTTTGCACCGATGGTCGACATCCGGCTGCGATACTCGGACTTTCACAACCTGCGGACGCAGCTCGTCGAGGCCCACCCGACGATGCTGGTGCCCAACTTGCCGCCGAAGCAAATATTCGGACGGTTCAACCCCAAGTTTGTGGAGAAGCGCGCGCTCGGCCTGACCAAGTTCCTCAACCTCGTTGTCTCGCACGCTGTCTTTGGCAAGTCGCCGCATCTCATCGACATGTTCAAGCTCAACCGCTCGTGATCGATGCTGGCTCACGGCTGTGTACTTTGTGGTAAACACGAGTTGCCTCTGCAAGTGGTAGCTGCGGTGAGGCGCGCGTTGCGAAGATCACATAAAGCCTGACGACGACGAGTAGCCCGACGAGTAGCCCGATGAGCCACCCGATGAGCCGCCTGATGAGCCGCCGCCCTGCGAGCAGCCCGTCGAAGTGCAGATCCAGCCGGCAGGACAGCAGAGGCCAGAGGTCGGGCAGCATACGCCCGAGTCGGTGGCGCAGCAGCCCCACGAGCAGCAGACGTTGTGGACGGCGCAGACGCCACCGGGTGCGCCTCCGCACGGCGCCGACGGGAACGACGGCGTAAACGCAGCGTCAACACCCGCCACAAAGTAGCCATCGCCTGAGGTCAGGAACGCCTTGGGCCCGAGCTTCACATCCTTGACCAGCGGCAGACGCGCGCCGGGATGCAGTGCCTTGGCCGCTGCCGAGCCGAGGAGATCAAAGAGCGCCGCAAACTGCGAAGCCGCGACGGTGCCGACATTCGAGAACGCCAGGACCGACGAGGGGAAGGTGATCGAGTCGAGAGTGGCATTGAGCTCGAGCTGGGCGTCGGGCGTCAGCGTGGCTGCGAGGCTTCCAGCGACGTCCATTTCCACCACCAGCTGAAAGGCGGTAACCGGCTGGGCGGCATCGACCACGAACGTCATGTTGATGGTAAACGGACTGGCGTCAAGGCCGGCAGCCGAGTAGTTGGCGCGCGGCGCAGAGACTAGGTCAAGCGTGACGGAGATGCCGAGGCCCGGGTACTTGGAGAGGCCCGGAACGGCGGCAGCAAAAAATGGATCCGAGGTGTTGAGCTTGACTGGCGAGTCGGCCGGCACCAGCTGCGGCGGGATGGTGACGCCTGAGAGCTTGCCCGATGTCGCCAGGGCCCACAGGCCCGATGAGAGCAGGTAGTCGGTGCCGACAACTGCCACTCCGGTCGAGATGTTGGCAAACGCGCTGGCAGGTGGCACCACCTTGGGCGCAAACGGCGGCAAGACGCCGGGCTTGTTCTCGATGCTGCCGGCAAGCTCAAAGACGAGGCCGCCAAAGTCCGGGACTGTGCCAAACGCACCCGTGAGGACAACATCCATGGCCAGGTCTGGCACCGCGACCGTGGTTGCGATCTTGTCGACAATCTTGGTCGCTTCCTCGCCGACCACCTTGAGCACTGTCGCCTCAAAGGTGGCCACAAAGTTCGAGGCGACTCCCTGGGCAATCTTGTCGACCGGGATGACGCAGATTGAGTCGGAGCACTGAATGAGAATCTCCACATGGCTCTCGGTATCAAGCGTGACCGACTGAGCCAGGTACGCCACATTCGGCCCCGAGAACGTCAGCTCGCCGTCGACGGACAGTGGGACCGGAACAAGTGTCATGATCTCGATGATGCCCGACTCCTTCGGGTGCGGCCAGGCGTCGGCGCGGACGTGGTAGTTGAACACAATCGAGAATCCGAGCTTCCCCCACGACGCCGAGAGCTTGGGTGCCGCCGCAGCATTGAGAGCAAAGTCTTCCAGCGCTACATTGTATCGGATGTTGGAGAAGGTGTACGACACGCCTCCACCTGATCCGGACACATCTGGCGACGTTGTGTCGAGATTGGCCGTATCCGCCACCTTGAGAGACAGCTGAGCGCGCGCGAGGGGGGGGATGGGGGGGGGGCGGATGAGTAGGCACGATCGCGTCATGATCGAGAGGATGGGCGCGATCACGGTCATGACCTTTCTGGTCACAAGCACGATCACCATCTCGGCCACCATCTCGGCCACCATCTCGGCTACCATCTCGGCTACCATCTCGGCTACCATCACAAAGGGGAAGCAAACACGATCATACGCCCCATACGCCGGGCTAGGCTATCATCTCCCTTTCTCCTCGCTCTCGCTACCCTTACCTCCCTCCCCACCTCGTCCACAAAGGCCTCTGACAGTGCCAGGTAGAGACCGGCAGGGTCTGGGAAGGCAGCCACAGGCACGGCCACAAGCCCAGCAGCAGCAACCAGGAGCACAAGGCAGAGTGCTGGGTAGCGCGATAACATGACGAGTACTACGTCAAGTGTGCACTCGTAAACTCTGTCAACTGCTACTTGCTGCCGTTGGCTTTGGTGCCCGGCAGAGGGAGGAGGGAGGCCAGGGGGGCTCACGCACGCATGCGCATGCGCATCGCGGTCCAGCAACGCTACTTTTTTTTTCTCGCACTTGTTACGTTTCCTCCTCTTCTCCCCTGCCCCATCCACATCGTGTACAAGAAGAGGGGTAGGCCCAGTCAGGGATCGGTTCAATTAGGGGTGCAGTGGAGGTAGAACAGACCACACGCTTCCTGTGTGGTCTCTGATCAGTCGGCAGCAACCTGTTATCGGTCGGCAGCGGCCTGCTGTCAGTGGTAGTGTTGCCGTCATAGGGCTTAGTACGGGTTGTCACGTCGGCTGGCGCGGGCACGGCGGCGGCGGGCGGCTGTTCGCGGTGTGACGTTGGCCTCGGCTCGAAGTGCCTCGCGGGTCGCTCGCGCAGCCTGCTCGCGCTCGTTGCCAGCTTCGGCCGCCTGCGTTGCCGAGATCTTCTCCTCGACAACCTTGAGCATGTCACGTGCGCGATCGAGCGTGGTCCCGATCTCGATGGAGAGCGTGCGGAGGGTGTTGACAAAGACCAGAAACTTGCGAGCGAGTGGGCCGTCCTTGGCCTCACCGCGCCTGGCGCCGCTGCTCGGCGCGGCGAGCTCGAGCTTGGGCAAGTCGAGCGCGGCCGAGGTGGCGGCAGCGACGCGACGGGCGGCGTCGATGGCCGGCTTTGCCAGCGCGTGCGGCACCGCGCTCCGCTTGGGCTGGACCTCACCAGCAAGCAGTGCAACGGCGTTCTGCAGGCTGCGGATCTCCTGTGCGACAGCGTCGTGATCGGCCGCCGTGCCGACCCGCGACTGGCCACTTGTGAAGCTCGGGGCGGTGTTCTCGTCGTCGCCGGCGCCCTCGTCCTCCTCATACATCATCTCCACCACTTCGGTGTTGGCCTCGAGCTCCTGCTCGAGCGCCTTGATGAACGCAGCCGCCGCCAGGCGGACCTTCTTCTTTGCCCGGCTATCCATCATGCTCCGCTCGTCGTCGGCGAGCCAGGCCTCCAGCTCCGAGTTGATCGCCTTGGCCACCTTGCGCGACCGCGTTGCCTCGGAAGGTACCACCACCCTCGACATCCTTCCCTCAGTGGCGTAGACAAGTCGAGTGCCCTTCACTATGCCGTTGGCCCTTCTCCCGCCTCTCGGCCCGCCACGGCTGCTCCTCTTGTCCGCGCCAGTTTGCCGCTCGCTTTGGCGCCAATGGGCGCCGCTGACACCGCCCCCGACAGCCAAATAAAAAGTTACAGCGCACAAATTGAGTGGCAGTTTGGGAGGTTTACAGTGACTGTTCCCCGTCAAAAACGATCGTCGGTCACGCGACGTCGCCGGGCCACAGAGTCGGACATTCGACTCTCGTACACCACCTTGTCACCGACATTGCTCACGCGAACTCGGCATCCTACGCATAAAGTTGGTTTACATCTGAGCTACACAACTGCTCACACTCTCAGCTTACTTTTCGAAACCGGTGAACTGTACGTAGTGGGCGAGGAGGTCGGGGGTCATGCTTGCGGTACTTGCGGTGACTTTGCGGCGAGCGGCGAGTTTGGGCGAAGCGCCATGGTTTCCTCTTGGCAAAGGAGTGCGGATGTGCGGCGGGTGATGATGATGACGAATATTTCGCCGCAGTGTGCCTGTTCCGGTGTATTACCCGCGCTCGTGATCTGCCCATCCAGCAGCGTTTCGCCGCGGTGTGACCCATGCTTGCGGGGAAGGGGGAGGCACACTTTACGCACAGGGTGCACCTTACACTGTGGGGTGCAGCTGTGCAGATAACTATGGCCAAGCGTAACGGTGGTGGCACCTCCGGAAGCAAATCTAAGGCCAAGCGGCGGCCGCGGCTGTACGGGCTGGTGAAGCAGAAGAAGATGGCGGCTGCCGAGCGGGTGGTGGAGGAGATGACCGCCGAGGGGCATGCCCTGGGCGTAGTCGAGTACACCATGCTCGTGCGCGGGTACACGGCTTGCGGCCAGCTGGAGCAAGCCGAGGCGGTGCTGGATCGCATGGCGGCGGCAAATGTGGCGCCGAATGACGTCACCTTTAACACCCTCATGCAGGGCTACGCGTCGCGCAAGCGCATGGACGCTGCCGAGGCCGTCGCCCGCCGCATGGTCCGCTCAGGCATTCCCATGGACCACTACTCGTTCAACATTCTTCTGGGCGGCTACATTGAGGCCCATGCCATCGAGGCTGCTGAGGAGCTGGTGTGCTCCCGGATGCCGGCCGCTGGCGTGGCCTACGACCCGGTCACCTTTACCCAGCTCCTCCGCGGCTACGTGCTCATTCGCGACATTTCGTCAGCCGAGAATGTACTTAAGCGGATGCGGGCTGCCGGGCTCGACCCCGAGTGTATGACGTACAACAACCTCGCACAGGGCTACACTGCCGAGAAGCGGATGGACCTCGCCGAGGACGCGGTCAACCGCATGATTGCTGCCGGCATTGCCCCGAACAACTACACGTACAACATCATTCTGCAGGGCTACACCCGCTCGCGCGACATGACCACCGCCGAGGACGTTGTTGCCCGCATGCGTGCTGCCGGCCTCTCGCCCGACCGCTTCACCTACTCGGCCTTGGTTCGCGGCTACGTCGAGGTCGGCCATGGCGACGCTGCTCGTGGCTGCGTTGCCGAGGCCCACGAGGCCGGCGTCCGCCTCGACCACAACATCATGAAACTGGCCGCAAAGGCCCGCAATCGCAAGGGCGGCAATGTTAAGAGCGGCAAGCAGGGCAAGCCGAGCAGCTCGTCCAAGAGCAAGAAGAAGAGCAAGCGCCCAAAGTCGCCGCGCGACTCGATTGCTGCCGGCGGCGGCTCTTCGACCCGCGACGATGCGAGCGACGGCAAGTTCGCCGGCTGGGGCCCACGGAGCGGGCCTCCTCTCCGCACCTCGGCCGCTGCTCCGGCCGCCGCTAACCCGCCGGTCTCGGCCGCTGCCAACATATCTAAGCTCGTCCGCCAGCAGCGGCTCGACGACGCTGTGCTGGTGCTGGAGGCCAAGCTGGCAGCCGGCAAGCCTGCCGCGCTTGCGTACTACACCCAGGTTGTGCGCGGCTTTGTGCGCGCCGGGCGGACCGACGATGCGTCGGACCTTGTCCGCAGCATGCCCGAGCACGGCGTGCAGGCCGACGTCGTCACCTTTACCGCCCTTGTTCAGGGCTACATGGACGAGGGTATTCCGGCCGCCGCCGAGGAGGCCGTTGAGTGGATGCTCGCTGTGGGTATTGTGCCCAAGACCCACACCTACAACGTCCTCATCCGCGGCTACATCAACGGCGGCAACCTCCGCGCAGCATCCGGTGTCATTCTCCGCATGCGCGCTAATGGCTGCCAGCCCGACCACCTCACCTACGCGCTCCTCATCCGCGCCCACCTCGAAGCTGGTAACCTCAACTCGGCCAGGATGGCCTACGACGAGATGCAGGCCTCGGGCATTGTGCCTGATCCGGTCCTCGCTCGCGACATTGCCGCCCTCAATGGCAATGGCTATGAGTATGGCTACGACGCGACGGCCGCCGCTGCCAACGGCAGCTCCTCGCCGCGCTCGCTCCCCTACGCGGTGGCTGCCTCGCAGGCCATCACACCCAGTCCTATCCCCACCGCTCGCGTTTCGATGACCCTCGGCGGCGCCAAGGCCAAGCTCGCCCGCGCGCTCAAGAAGCGCAAGTACGCCGAGGCCGAAGCTATCCTCGCCGACATCCTAGCCACCGGCCTCCGCCCCTCCGTCGTCATGTACACCATGCTTGTGGGCGCGTACGCGCAGTCGGGGGATGTCGCTGCTGCTGAGAACGTCATCGTCCGCATGCAGCGTGAGGCGGGCGTCGAGCCCAACGTGGTGACCTTTAACTCGCTGATGAAGGGCTACACCGCGGCCGGCGACATGGCCGCGGCCGAGGACATTCTCGATCGCATGGACTCGCGCGGCGTCGCGCCCACCGTCTTTACCTACAACACCCTCATGATGGGCTACACCCGCTCAGGCGAGATGAGTGACGCTGAAGGTGTCCGCTCCCGCATGCTCGGCCGCGGCATCGAGCCCGACCGCATCACCCTCAACGCGCTCCTCAAGGGCTACACCCGCGTCAAGGACGTGCCGGGCATCGTCCGCTCGCTCATTGCCATCCACCACTCTCGTGTCCGCCCCGAGCCTGCCCTCCTCCGCATCGCCCACGACCTGCTCCGTGACGCCGGCATTGACCCCGACAATCTCGACGCCCAGCCGCTCGCGGACGCTCCTGCGTCAGCGCCTGCGCCTGTGCTCGCCCCGCCCTCGCATCTGTCCGCCCCTCCGGCCGCGGCCCCCTGCCACGCACCCGCCCGTCCTCGCGCTCCTCATCCGGATCCTCCACGTCGCCGCCCATTGCGCTCCTCGAGCTCGCGCGCTCTGGCCCGATGGCACTCCGCGACCGTGACGAGGGCGCTGTCGCTGCTCTCGTCCGCCGCATCCTCATGTCCGTCTGAGGCCATGCGTCTCCCTCCCCTCTCCTCTTTCTCTTCATCTCCTCCTTTTGCCATTTCTTTGGGGGCATGGACAAGGTAAACGTCCATGTTGGCAAAGTCGCCGTGTCCTGGATTCGCCGTCTTCTTGACCCGAGAGTCACTGGCACCACCAGAAGCTTTTATCCGCTACCACCTGTCTTTCAATACCAGCTATGGCTCGGGTTAAGATGACAAGCATGACAGGCGGCAAGGCACCTCGCAAGTGGACAGGCGGCAAAGCGCCTGGCAAGTCTCTCTCTTCTTCGCAACCAGCGTCTATTGACGCCCTTGAGCCCCCTGCACCTATGACGTACGTCCCCCTCCCCACGCGCGTCGCTAAATGGAAGGCTCGGCCGCCCCCCGTCTTTCTTCGGTCACGCCCCCCCCCCCCCCCCCCCCTCCTCCCCTCCCTTACCACCCACCCATTCACCACCCACTGCCCTTAACACCCTCCCCCTCCCCCGTCCATCTCTTTTCTTTCCCCCTTCTCAGCCTCCTTTCCAACCGCTGTAGCCCCCCCCCCCCCCCCCCCCCCCCCCCCCCGCTCCCTACACATGTTCACTGTTTTGTACGACCTCAAGAACAACTTTTTTTGGGCGCCTTTGGAGATGGGTCTTGCCGGATGCCGC